AGGGGGATGAAAAATAGATGTTGGCCGATTCTCAGACCTACTAAATACGCTCACAAATTTCATGAGAATCGGTCAAGCCGTTTCGGAGGAGTATGGGAACGAAAACTGTGACACGAGAATTTTATATATAAGACTAGCTTTGGCCCGCGCCTTCGCTCGCGTTAATTTATTCTCTTAGGGGTAGAATTAATCAAAATCCTTTCTTAAAGGATGCCTACGTCATAGTAGCTTTATGCATGCAAAGTCTCATCCCGATCGGTTTGAAATTGACAAAGTTTCATACAAAATTTCATTACTATTTTATTCTCTTGGGGGTAGAATTAATCAAAATCCTTTCTTAGCGGATGCCTACGTTATAACATCTACCTGCATGCCAAATTTCAGTCCGATCCGTCCAGTGGTTTGGGCTGTGTGTTGATAGATCACTATGTCAGTCACCTTTGAGTTATATATATATATATATATAGATTCCAGAAACACAACTTAACTTTGCCATTCGAAACCAGAGGGCGCTGATGTATATGTATTTTTAATGGATGATAATGGATGCCAGCCTATTGGTGCACCCACCAGTGTGCTGGCACTAGTCAAATGATAAGATAACAGATGATGTGAGCAGTTAGCCAATCGTGACAAAATCACCAGGAATTTATCATGATGGTTTCCAGGGAGAACCGCGTGGAGGTCAACCTAACATGGTACATTGTTAGCGATGGTGTTTTTAGGTTACTAATACGCGTTACTTCTTCCTTCCTGAATATAATAATAATAATAAATAATAAACTCAGGACAATTCACACAGCGCCATCTAGACCCAAGTTAAGCTAGCTAGAGCTTGTGTTATGGGTACTAGATAACTGATACATATACATAGATATTTTTTTTTTGTAAATACACACATATTATACATAGAAAACACCCAGACCGATACAAACAATCATACTCATGAATACAAAATGTTTGTGCCGTGCGAGGAATCGAACCCGCGACCATCGTTAGGAAAGCGGTGTGCTTGACCGCTAGACCACCGAGGTCGTCAAAGAATATGATAAGATACTTTAATTTTGCAGACGAAGTAGCAGGGCTCAGCTAGTGTTGGTATATGTATAGTTGAACTGAGGCCAGACAGCACTTACAATGAATAGCCTAGTATTGATTTACCCCAGTTCTAGAAATACAGGTAGATTACGTCGGTGGTTTTATTTGAAACTCGCTTACATATCAAATGTTTTATGTACATTACAATTAGTGTTTGTTCATTTTATAAAAGCGTATCCGAGTCGTATAAAGTGTTGTATAGCCATGCTTACGTTTTATTATTCCACGCGGGAAACGGATAAAAAAGGAGTTTGTAAGTTTTAATCATCATTCATTACATAGTATAAAATTAAGTCGCTGTCGCTGTCCGTCCGTTCCTATGTGTGCTTAAATCTTTAAAACTACGCAACGGATTTTGAAGCAGTTTTTTTTAATAGATAGAGTGATTCAAGAGGAAGGCTTATATGTATAATACATTTACAGCCGGGCTAAGCCGGGGCAAGTAGCCAGTAATCTATATATATATATATATATATATCTATATATATATATATATATACTTGAAGCAAAAACTCTGTATCCTTTTTTATGAAATTTCGCACACTTATAGTTTATATAGAGAAAGAGTGCAGAATGCTAATATTTTTTTTAAATTATGCATAAAAATACATAAAATGTTGTATTTGACACACGCATATATACTCTTTTGTTTATTGTTGTTTTGGACTTAAACATTGAATGTTGTGAGTATTTTAATCCATTGATGTTTCTGACTCCCTTGTAATGGAAATACCAATAATAATCTATATTAAAAAAAGAGATTTACTTCATGCCACTTTGGAAATAAAATATAGTTCTTTTAATGATTGATAATGGAATGTGCACAGTAAAGCTGGCGGGGCACCGGTGGAGGATGATATGGGAACAGAACGTCAAGTTGAACAGCTTCTGACTTGGCGGAAGGAGATTTTAGTAATGTAGACTAACAACTCCATTGCTAAAGTCCTACGTCAGGTTGACCTCCACGCGGTTCCCGTTCCCTTGGAAATCATCGTCATAAATTTCAAGTGAATTTACCACGATGGGTTAACCGACCTGATCTCATGTTCACCTTATCATTCTACACTGGTGCCCGGTCAGCGTAAACTGTTAGCGCAGGCGGTGCACCGTTCCATTATCACATATTAAAACTACTTCTAGCTTCTAACTACTCTCATGTAGTATAACAGTCGTGAAATCATGTTATATATATTAATTTAAGTTTGATAGAAAACACAAGAACCGCGGTCGTTGACCTGCACATACGTATTATTACGTATACGTCAGTGCCCAAAGACGACTAAACTTATAATGAGGATGCAAGAGCGTTGCCATGGCAACCAGCCAGTATTATGCCACTTGTCCGGTAGCACAGTATTGTATTATATTCGCTTGTTCAATGAATCCACTGCACTGCAGGTAGCGGGTCGTGATCATTGAGTTATGAATACCTCTCTTATTGCATGTATATATTTTATATTTATTTACATACTAGATTTTACCCGCGTCTTCGCTCGTATTGAATAAATAAAAATATTTTTAATAAAAAGTATCTTATCGTTCATTCTAATATCTCCAAGAACGTCATATCATGAACGAGTGCTGCTTGTAGGGACTGGTCTGCAACACACAAGTTTCTTGTCCGTTCTTCTTGTGATGAAACAGCCTTCCGAATAAGCGGTAGATTGAACAGTCAAAAGTGCTTAAATTAAGTTTGTTAGAATAAATGATTTTCTATTCTGAACATGTGTACAAAATTTTATTATGATCGGTTGAGCTAAAGCTGGTAAAACTTCCTTCCGAATCACTCTATCTATGGCTGAAAACTGCATTAAAATCCGTTGCGTAGTTTAAAAGATATAAGCGAACAAACAGCGTCGGCGACTTTGTTTTATGTAAAGATGAATATAAACTTCCATTTATTTATAAAAAAATGTGAATGTAAAAAAGCATATTTATTTGTCTTTTAATATATACTTTTGATTTACCTAAATGTGTGTGGTATATAATAATAATAATAATAATCTCAGGACAATTCACACAGCGCCATCTAGACCCAAGTTAAGCTAGCTAAAGCTTGTGTTATGGGTCCTAGACAACTGATACAAATACATAGATAATTTTTTTTTTCGTAAATACATATATTATACATAGAAATACCCAGACCGATACAAACAATCATACTCATGAATACAAATGTTTGTGCCGTGCGAGGAATCGAACCCGCGACCATCGGTCGTAAAGCGGTAATATATATATTAAGCTAACTTTACTGTATGGTTCGTACGGAAAATCCACCCACCTCTGTCCCACGTTGGGCGCCAGTCAGCCTATAGCCATTAAGTAATTCATGATTATATGCATTCCTAGAAAAATGTAAAACGTTTTTCACTTAATAACAACTACTGAGCTATCGACACGATCACTGTTCTACTTTTTTTAATCGTTTTGTTTTTCGAACTATTATAATGTTGTATGGCCATCAGGCTATCACAGTATTAGCTAGTCTAAAAAAAAAGAAAAAGATTTATTGACAACCATCATTACATAGTATAAAACAAAGTCGCTGTCGCTGTCTGTCCGTCCCTATGTAAGCTTAAATCTTTAAAACTACGCGACGGATTTTGAAGCGATTTCTTTTTATAGATAGAGTGATTCAAGAGGAAGGTTTATATGTATAATATATGTACACCCGGGCGAAGCCGGGGCGAGTAGCTAGTCATTGATATAAATATATATTTACCCATTTGATATAGGTACATTTTACATATATATATATGTATGCACACATACACCCACATATATATACGCTACACATTGATATATCATAAGAATCTGTAATAGACCTACATGAATAAAGATATTTTGAATTTAAATTTGAAAATAAAAGGCAGTGCAAATAAATGTTGTACATGTTTACAATACATACACCTATGTACATACACACATAGAACAATTACAAAAAGAACATCTGTAATATTTATATACAATGGTTGGGAAAATGGCTGACACTGAGTATTTGCCGTGATTTACTCAGCTAACTAACACGACGCTGGTATTCTGTGCCTGCCATTAGTGAGTGAGTCTCTTCCTCTTACGCTGAGAGACACATTACTAATAATAAAAAATATATTTATTATTTATAATAGTACAGTGATACAGTTACACAATTATGTATTCAGAATATTTATAATGATTGAGAATAGGTACAAGCTCAGCTATGGCTGGACTGAGGGGCATCCAACGTGGTTTTCAGTTTGTACGTACAAACTGAAAAGGCGTACTCAACCACATATGCTAGACATCCACACCGCAATCTTATCAAATAAAGACACTTTACTGTATATAAATAAAGTTCGAGGTTCTGTGTAGTTATTTATATATATAAATGACACATTTACATTATATATAATTTAATTTTACTAATGGAAAGTGCTCTTTGTTTTTTTTGCTCGAACTTTTCTAATGCTGTTGCTAAAAGACCAGCTGCGGTAGCTGGTCTTTTAGCTTCATCGGACGATAGGGGGCGAGTGCAGATGGCACTCCAAACCCGCGGAAAAGCTTATGGAGCGGCTGAAGGCCAACTTCTGCCTAACGGATATGAGTTTAGTCTGATGGCACCGCTAGGGGTTCGAACTTCGGCTCAGGCTATTGTAATTTCGATCCCCGTTTGAATTTGACGGGGGATCGATCATATGTTACTGTAATCTCGTTTTTTTTTTTGTTATTTAGTATATAGTTTTTATTGTAATGTCTAATTTTACAGTATTATTCTCTTGCTATTTGTGAAAGCCTGCCAATGGCTTTGTTGGTTTTATAAAATGTTACAATATTTCTATAGTATAGTATAGCTCAGGGTTTCCTATAGCAAAGAATAATACAATAAATAATACAAAAATAATTTATATTTTTTTAATTTTCAGATGCACATTACGTTTCCCTTCCACAAACATCCGCCTGGAGTTCCAGTCGCTGGTGGAGGAGAGTGGAGCGGGAGCCAGCACGGGGCCTCCGCTGCCGCCTCTCCGCATCACCATACCGGTGGAAAACGACGGCCGGAGTCCCGCACCTTCGCCGACAGGTCAGTGAAGAAGTTTATTTAATCGAATTAGGTGTTATTTTACGGAAGTCCATGTCTACTCGATGGATTTGTATTATTTGACTCGACCGCCTGATGATGCCTCGTTCAGAGGCGAAACACGTGTCGCGATATGGATGTGGACTCAGTGACGGTTGGAATTTGATCGCCATTAGAGAAGGTCGTAATGGTAGTCAAGTTTCCACACCGAATATATGTGGTTTCACATGCTAATTGTAGAGGAATTAAACAAAATAATATAAATACATCAAGCAGTGAAGAAGTTCTCTTTGTTGATGAGACGAACAACGACATCTAGTCCCAAATCAATTCAAAACAAATTTGTTTGCGTTAACTGTACACGCGACTTTGTTCGCGTGGAATTTAACATTATTTTTCTAAAATAAAGGTAGCCTAAGTTACTCCTTATTAAATCAGCTACCTGCCAATAAAAGTCCCGTTAAAATCGGTCCAGCTATATCAAAGATTAGCCGGAACAAACAGACAGACAGACTATAATTGTAAAAAATGTTCTGGTGTATGTACCGTATTTATATTCATATGCATGTAGTAAAAAACTGTTATTTCAATATTACAAACAGACACTTCAATTTTATTTATATGTATAGATAAGTATAGGTATGTCATTGTAGAATATAATGTCCCATTACGTTTTGCCTCATTAGGCATGCAATATTTAAGAGAGATTTCCAGATAAGCATTGCTTGTGTTATGGACTAGACAATTGATATAAATACATAGATTATTTTTTTTATGTAAATACATACATAATATATGTACATAGAAAACACCCAGACTGATACAAACAATCCTTACTGAACATACCGATACAAACAATTCTGAATACAAATGTTTGTGCCGTGCGAGGAATCAAAACAATTGTTTTACTACCTTACTTTTACTCACAGTCCATCCATCTCTTTTTCGGCCTTCCTCTGCCCTTATAACTGCCCTTATATACAATCTTATGTAACACATTCCTTAAAATCTTATATATAAAATTCTCGTGTCACAGTTTTCGTTCCCATACTTTTCCGCAACGGCTTTACCGATTCTCATGAAATTTTGTGAGGGTATTGAGTAGGTCTGAGAATCGGCCAACATCTATTTTTCATCCCCCTAAATGTTAGGGGTAGTCCACCCCTAAATTTTATTTTTAAGATTTAGAGAATTTTTAGTTTGTATTTTTTTATGATACAACATACAAAAATACATACAATCCTATATTTTCACCCTTCTATCATCAACCCCTATTTTTTTATAGCGTTATTAATTTATATGGCAAAATAACGTTTGCCGGTACAGCTAGTAATATCTAAAGGTATAAAATGATATAAAAGAATATTCACGTATAATTATTATATCTGAGTAATATGAATTTACTCAATCTGTAACTCAAATCAATTAGTAAACTGTACTGTAACTTAGTTTGCATAAAGTTAGTTCCATGGCCTCAAGTAACATTTGCGTATAAAGTGATTCTTTTAGATAAGTACAGCGTTTCAAGATTGCCAACTCATCTTTAATATAAAGTAATTTCAGAGATACGTAAGAAAACACAGACAGACTTACATACACATTTCTTTAATTTTTTTTTATTTGATGTAAGTAACATTATACATTACAATGTGGTAGGGTACTAAAAAAAGATAAATAATGATTTGACAGAATCTTTTCAGTCCGGGAGTCAGGCTCCCAGACTAGCGTTAAAAAGATAATAAAAGGTAAAAAGGTAATAAAACTGCTACATACTGTACACCGATGAAGTTTTAAATAAATAAATAAAAATATAAAAATAACAAACTGTACACCGATGAAGTTTTAAATAAATAAATAAAAATATAAAAATATGCACTACGAACATAAACTTCTGAAACTACTTAACCAATTTTTATAAAACTTGGCTCACTGTGTGCAATTTGATTCAATTTAAAAGTGTACAGTTTTTTATTGACCTCAATATTACTACTCAGCTGGCTGCTATGCGCGGACGGAACGGCTAGTGTGTATATAAATATATAAAATTTTCCACGCTATCTTGCAATGTCTTTGAATGTACTAAGTGTGGAGAGCGTAGTAGTCGTAAGTTCAAATCCGGCAGATATAAAAAAAACTATGTATGTCAATTTGGTAAATTGACGACGGCCTCAATGGTCTAGCGATTTAGCAGACCGTCTTACTTCCTCTGGTCGCGGGTAAGACTCCTCGCGCGGTACTAACATTTGTATTCATGCGTATGAGTGTTTGTTTTAGTGTTTTTATCAGTATCAGTTGTCTATCCATAACATAGCTCTGCTTAGCTTAGTACTAGATGGCGTCGAGTGTCCTGAGATGTTATAAAAACAAACTATATTTCAGACTAACATCACAACCGGCCGAAACAAAAAAAAAAATTGCAGTTTATATTGACTTGAAAGTCTAATCTTAATCTCAATAATATTTTATAAGTATGGATATGTATGGATAATAATAATAATAATCTTAAGACAATTCACACAGCGCCATCTAGACCCAAGTTAAGCTAGCTAAAGCTTGTGTTATGGGTAATAGACAACTGATACAAATACATAGATTATTTTTTTTTGTAAATACATACATATTATACGTAGAAAACACCCAGACCGATACAAACAATCATACTCATGAATACAAATGTTTGTGCCGTGCGAGGAATCGAACCCGCGACCATCGGTCGTAAAGCGGTGTACTAGACCGCTGGACCACCGAGGTCGTCTAAGTCTAAGTCTAAGGATAAGTATGGATGTTTGTTACTTTACAGTAATATAGCTTATACATCACAATAACATCATCATCTGCTTCTTCCTTATCCCATTTATTTGGCGTCGGCGTAATATGTTTTTCGCATCACATCACAATAACATAGGCTATAAATTTCATGTGTGTGAAATCGCGGACATAGCTAGTATATATGTATTGTAATATTTTGGAACTAAATATTTTCTAGATCCGTAATAATTAGAGATTACAGGTAGAATATATTCTTTATTTTCAACTTTACGTGTAATTTTATGAATAATATGATTTCTAAATTTATTATGTTTAAAATGCTCTTTTAGTATTAATAATTTATTTTTATCTTTTACATCTGATAATGAACGTATGTAATGTTTTGTTCCAGGAACGATAAGTGCGGCCAACAGTTGCCCCACATCGCCTCGCGGCGCCGGCTCGTCGGGCCGCCGCCACGCGGACCTCGGCCTGGTGGCGCACTACGCCGCGCTGGCAGACCACCAGCGGCCGTCCTCGAATGGCACCGCCGTATGTATATGACAAATATATCCCTAAGAAATAGTGGAACGGAGGGATCATAATCCATAATCCATATTCCTACTGCTTGTCTGCCGCCTCTTACGTGAGATAGGCTTGGAAGACTAATATTGACTATACTGCGATCAAATTGCGACTACCAAGAACAAGCCACGGGTCGAGGTGGGGCAAGATCTTATATGGGTGACATTTTAGTTATTGCCCCGCCTCGAAATGCCAAGTGTCATCATCACCCTAAACCACTGCCTGGTGCCTGCCTGGTCTTCGGCATGGATTTTTCCTTGTTTGGTTAATTGCAGAATTGCAGCTATTTCTATCTCTACTTCTAATTCTGTGGTGATGAACTATTATGTAAACGACGGTTTGTTTTTTTAAAAATTTTTTTATTGTGTTAGGGCTATTGTCTGCTGCATGGATCTGTAGGTAGCACTGCGACCTAGATAGATTTATTGTGCTCGCCCTTTCCAAAGTTCGCTACCTACCCGGCAGGGACAGAATTGAAAGATATTCGTAGGAGCGATGGTTTTTGTCTCCTCAGGAAAGAGTGTAAACTTTCCGAAGGAGATATTTCGTTTATGCATGGGTGGGCTACAACCACTTAGGAAGTGTAGTGGCGTTTCCTCTTCAGTTTGGCAAACTCTGCAGATTTTTGTTGTGCTTAGGCCTAGATTAATTCGCAGTGTCCTGTGATTTTTCACCTTTAATCTGATTGGTCATAAATTAGCTATTCAAGTTACCCAGTTACATAAAACAATATTTCCTTCTCAGGTGTCGTCCACAACGTCGGACTCCGGGTACAGCAGCACCAGGGATGTGAGAGAAGGTCGAGAGGCTCGGGAGTCCCGCGAGGGCCGGGAGGCTCGCGACGATGCCAAGCCACCATACAGTTACGCCCAGCTGATCGTACAAGCGGTGGCTTCAGCCATAGACAAGCAGCTTACTCTCAGCGGCATCTATAGTTACATCACGAAGCACTACCCCTACTATCGCACAGCGGACAAGGGCTGGCAGAACTCTATACGTCACAATTTATCGCTCAATAGGTGGGTCTTGGAATTTTCTTATATATAAAACATTCCAGAAACACAACTTAACTTTGCCATTCGAAACCAGAGGGCGCTGATGTATATATTTTAATGGATGATAATGGATGCTCTGCCAGCGCACTGGTGGGTGCACCAGGGCAGTAGTAAAGTATGATAAGATGAGGATGAGATGATGACAGATGATGAGATTAGTTAGCCAATCGTGACAAAATCACCAGGAATTTATCATGATGGTTTCCAGTGGGAATCCATCCTTGTACCCGCTTTTTCACCTGCGTTAAATTTCAATAAAAATATAGCCTGTATATTATTCTGATGCATAAGCTATATTACTGTAGTTTCATCAAAATCCGTTCAGTAGTTTTTGCGTGAAAGAAAAGAAAGTAACAAATATCCATACTTAAACTTACGCGTTTATAATATTATTAAGTTTATTTATTGATTGTATGGTAAGTACTTATTATTTCCAATTTTTAAAGAGTACTTATCATTCCATCAACGTTTTGTGGAAAGTCTGCTGATGATACTGATAATGGTGAATGATTAAAAACTATTGAATGTTTCCAGATACTTTATAAAAGTGCCGCGCAGTCAAGAGGAGCCCGGCAAGGGCAGCTTCTGGCGCATCGACCAGCAGAGTGAGGGGAAACTCATCGAGCTGGCGTTCAGGCCGAGGCGGCCGAGGGGCGTGCAGTTCCGAGCACCCTTCGGCCTCACGTCCAGGTACTATTATTTCTAGTACTAGAATATTTTATATACATATATGTGACATATATGTATATATTTATGTTCATTACGCTCACCACCTACCACTTTCTTATCTTAATGTTACTTTCTCTGCTGGTAGTCTGGAAGAGATTGCTTAGCGATAAGACCTTTTGTATCAGTTTATGTAATATATCATTTTATGTGTTTTCTTAGTCTCGTGCAATAAAGAGTTTAAATAAAAAAAAAAATAGTAATACTTAGGTTTTTCTCTAATTAGTTGCTCATTCTTCTTGTGATCTGCAGATATGAGTGAATCTGCATTCCGTATGAGTGGTAGAATCAAAATATGACTATTCAAAAGTGCTTGTAATGAGTTTATTTGAATAAAGATTATTTCTATTTCTAAGTGTGCTATCTGCTTTGTGATTTGTATTAGCCCATTATCAGAACTTGTTTGGACAGCCCTGACATAACAAAATCAAACATATGTACAAATACTTGTATATAACAATATATGTTTATACACAAGTGATCTGCTATCTTGTATTGAGTGTATCAATGGACGTGCGCGGTGGCACGCTGAATATAATCTCGTACTATGACATAATAAGGTCATTCATTCAGGATTTGTATTAGAAATACGTTTGCGTATTGATAATATAATAATAATAATAATAATAATAATCTCAGGACAATTCACACAGAGTCATCTAGACCCAAGTTAATCTAGCTAGAGCTTGTGTTATGGGTACTAGGTAACTGATACATATACATAGATATTTTTTTTTTTGTAAATACATACATATTATACATAGAAAACACCCAGACCGATACAAACAATCACACTCATGTATACAAATGTTTGTGCCGTGCGAGGAATCGAACCCGCGACCATCGGTCGTAAAGCGGTGTGCTTGACCGCTAAACCACCGAGGTCGTCATAATATGTTATTACTAGCTACTCGCCCCGGCTTCGCACGGGTGTACAGTTTTTAGCAATAGATGGAGTGATTCAAGAGGAAGTTTTATATGGATAATATATGTACAACAGTGGGAAGCCGGGACGAGTAGTTAATAATAAAGTTGAGTACTTTAGAGGCCGTTGTTTCACCATCCTACTCTAAGAAATGCAAAGATTTGTAATGTATACGTGCCGGAACAAGTCGTTAGTTACCAATAAATCTTCATTATTTACTAGCTGTGCCCGCGAATGTGAATTGCTTTTTTCATCAGGTATGCAAACTTTGCCGATGGATAATATCCAGAACGGAGTCTATGCATTTTTACAATGTAAGAACGTGTGCCCTTCACATAATTGCACCAAGGCACCCGGGGAGGTTCTTCCTGTATTGTCTTGTTCCAAATGCCCTTAGAATGATCTTTTATCGGTTGTAATACTATCACGTTATCATGATATTTTTGAGAACTTCAGTCCAATGCTAATTAAACATTATGCCGCATTTCGTTTGTTTTACCATATGGTCGTTTCTTTTATCGGTTATAACGATAAGGTTAAAATTTACCTGATAACTGGGAGCAGTTGTGCAGATCGATAGGAGTTTTAGGGTTACATGTGGGATATGCACGATTTGGGCGATTTCCTGACCCGGTTGAGCGAGTTTTGTATTCGCTATAGAGACGTGTGCCTTTTTTTTATAACACAGGGGACAAACGAGCATGCGGCTCACCTGATGGTAAGTGATTGTAGTGCCACAGCGGTGGCACATATGTAACACTTTCCTAAAATATTATCAGCGTTATTATTAATAATATTAATTATTATTATGGTTATGTTCTATAGGAGCGCGCCGACGTCCCCGTCGCAGGTGGGCGTGTCGGGGCTGGTGACCCCTGAGGAGCTGTCGAGGGAGCCCACACCCGACCTGCTCTCCGGCGAGGAGCATGACCACCAGGTTAGTGCTACCACTCCTCAATGAGGACCAGCTTCTTACTAATGCTATAGTCGCGAAAGTTTGTGAGTATGAATGGATGGATATTTCTTGTTACTCTTTCACGGAAACTACTATTCAGTAGTGTTATATAGCTAATAATAATAATAATCTCAGGACAATTCACACAGAACTATCTAGACCCAAGTTAAACTAGCTAAAGCTTGTGTTATGGGTACTAGATAACTGATACAAGTACATAGATATTTTTTTTTCTAAATACATACATAATGTATATAGAAAACACCCAGACCGACACAAACAATCATACTCATGAATACAAATGTTTGTGCCGTGCGAGGAATCGAACCCGCGACCATCGGATGTAAAGCGGTGTGCTAGACCGCTAGACCACCGAGGTCGTCAGATGCTATACATGTTAGAGCTATATTATTGTAAAATTTAATTAAAATTCGTTCAGTAGTTTTGAGCGAAAGAGTAACATACATCCATACTCACATACAAACTTTCGTGTTTATAATATTAATAAGTTTTGTTTGTTCTAATATATTTTTTATAAACCTAAACGCTTTGGTATATATTAAACTAATTGTACTGTGTTATTCGTATGGAAAATGCCTCCTGCCCTGTCCACTTTGGGTATAATATTAGTAAGAATAATGAATCCCCATTGTTGGATTACGAATCCTTATAAATTAATATATAAAAGAGAGAGTGGACTGTATTTATTGAAAAGAAAATAATTAATGGAAAAAGAAGTAAAAATACGATTTCGACCTGGAAGAACGTCTTCCACACTCCGAACACCCCGAAGTAAGCAATGTAACACCAAACTTACTCACCTTTGCTCAGGAACGTCCCGATGTGTAGTACTGTTTAGTGGCCACGCACTCTACAGTGTATATTTTCATCAAAAACAATTATATTGTGTTAAATAATTCCTTAATTATCTTGTTTTATATAGATAAAAATACGGAGCGTCCTTTTAATTCCAGTTCTTATTTTCAATTGTTTTTTTATTCTTTTTTTGAAATTTAAGTGGCCACATGTTTTTATATGTGGCCAGTACCGAGCGCCCTTTGCTCCAGTAAGCAAGCCGGTGATACAACCAGCTTAGACTAAGTAGGTTCGGAATACGGAACACCCATAATGATTATCCCCATAAGTTGAGCTAAGTTGGGGATATTTCGTTTATCCTCAACATGCTTAACTACCCATAATATTTTTATTTTATAATATTCTCAACTTAGCTTAACTTATGTGGAGTGTAATGTTTGCAGGCAAGTCAGCAGCGGCTGAACAGCAACAGTCAGTCGACGCAGTATCTGTTCCCGCAGCGCAGCGGCATCAGTCAGAGCGCGCCCGGATCACCTGGTACTGTTATGTTGTTGTTATTTTTCGGACTGCTGCTGTTGGCCGCAGCTGGCCTTTACAGCTTCACCGGATGATAGGAGGCGAGTGCAGATGGTACTCCAAACCAGCGGAATTACTTATGGAGCGGCTGAAGGCCAACTCCCGCCTGACGGATACGACTTTAGTCTGAGGGCACCGCTAGGGGATCGAACCTCAACTTAGGCAACTACAACAAAAGGGGGTACTGTTATAGTAACCTTCAGACCTTTATAGGGGAGTACGACCTAAAGAAACATGGATGGGTTGTATGAAAGATGATGTGTATGATGATCGGTAGAAGTGGAAGATAGACATCAGCGCCGACCCTAAAAAAAGGGATGAAGACAATGGTGACCTTCACAAATTATATACCAGCTCCTTTTTCTTGCTAGTTATTTTATTAAACTCCGAAAAGAGAAGATAGAGAGAGAGAAAAAGAGAAGTATTATATAAGTTATACGTCTCTGTGTATGTATATGTGGCATCGTAACTGTTAAACAATTGACAGCGAGTAGATTAAACACTAATTTATAAATATCTAAAACCTTAATTTTGTATGCTACTAATAAATGTATACCTTCATATATTAGTGGAGGGTGGTAAGAAGAGCATGAGGTCAGGTCAGTTAGCCCATCGTGACAAATTCACCAAGAATTTATCACGATGGTTTCCAGGGGGAACTCGTGGAAGGTAATCTGCCATGGTACATTGCTAGCAACAAGATCATCCACATTACTAACAATCCCCTTTCACCCCTCAGGTCACGGGTTTTTTTTTTAGGGTTGATAATGGAATGGTGCACCCGCCTGCGCTAACGGTTTACGCTGGCGGGGCACCAGTGGGGGATGATAAGATGTGCATGAGGTCAGGTCAGTTAGCCCATCGTGCAAATTCATCAGGAATTTAACACGATGGTTTCCAGGGGGAACCGCGTGGAGGTCGACCTGATGGTACATTGCTAGCAATGGAGTTATCAATCCACATTACTAACAATCCCCTTTCACCCCTCAGGTCACGGGTTGGCGTACAACTCTGGCGGTAGCGGCCTTGTGATGGCCGGACACCAGATCACTGTCGTGACCAATGGAGCAGGCGGGGAGCGGGAAGGTATGTACCATCAGTTTCGATTCTATCACTTTTTACTTGCAACTCTAACGGCAATAGAAAATTGCGCTTACAACACAGGGGACAAACTAGCATGCGGCTCACCTGATGATAAGTGATGACCTCCGCCCATGAGCACCCGCAACAACAGAGGAATTGCAAGTATATTGTCGGCCTTTTAAAAGGGAATAAGCTCTTTTCTTGAAGGTTTCAATATCGTATCTGTTCGGAAATACTATTGCTGGAAGGTGATTTGCCACTTTTTGCTACGAACAACCACATTGGGGATGCGTGGCAAAGTTTCTAGAAAACCGCACTGTGGAGGACCGCCATTCATCCAGATGATCAGGATGGAATTTTAGTTTCTGACGGGTGGTACGGTGGTGAAACTCAGTGGCTGGTATTAATCTGAACAATTCTTCAGAACACTCACCGTGATATAAGCGGTAGGAAAAGCACAGAGATGCAATATCTAGGATGTAGCGCTCTTACCCTGAAGAAATCTATTGATTACAGTCTTCAAGAAATCGGGGTTGTATTTCTACGGGAACACGAAAGCTGTAAGTGTGTTCCACTCTTTGGCAGTGGGTAAACACACATACCTTCGAGGATATTTGATTTGGCTACTTGTCGGCCTTAGTGATCTAGCGGTTTAGCACACAGGTTTACTTTCGATGGTCGCAGGTTCGATTCCTCGCATAGTACAAACGTAAACGTTTTATATTTACAAAAATGTGTATCTAACATTAGTTGCTAATAACATTAGCTTGGGACTATATGGCGTTGTGTGAATTGTCCAGGGATCTAACTATTTTGTATATTAACGTTACAGAGAAGTATGTGGTGGGAACCAGTTCTGTGGGGAACCTGGTCTCCATCCAGGAGGAGGAGGTCCCCGCCAACGTCGTTATACATCAGCATTCGCCGTATTACGCGTGAGTATTATTAAAAACAAAGATGTATAACAAGAATGTACAATCAAAGAACTATAAAATTAAATAAAAATTTAGATTAGCTATATTTATCTTTAGAAACAATATATTGTTAACTATCGTGTGACGCACCATTAATTAAAAATAGTAAAGTCAATAATCATGTAACCTGAAACGGAACGTCAGAGGCCAGAGCCAAAGTAATCTATGTGACATTGACAAGTGGATGACGGATGATTGAACGTAGGCAGCGGGAGTTTTGGAGCGAAAGTGTTTATATTATTATAAAAATAATAAGAGATAGGTAATTGTGAATATTGTAGGAATTGAGGTGTTTCTCTCCCTGACTAACCGGCATTACGCCTAAGTCGTCAGGATACTAGTGATTTTAAAAATATATATATGTTAAACGTAACTTTAGAAGATATAATCTGGTATGTAGAGCGAGTACCGGGAGAGTTTTAAATTAAAAAATAATTTATTCATGTAGGACATTTTAGCCGCTTATGAACGACAAATTTTTATATTATAACTAGCTGTTCCGGCAAACGTTGTTTTGCCTTAAAATAAAAAAAAAATAGGTGTGGACTACCCCTAACATTTAGGGGGATGAAAAATAGATGTTGGCCGATTCTCAGACCTACTCAATACGCTCACAAAATTTCATGAGAATCGGTCAAGCCGTTTCGGAGGAATATGGGAACGAAAACTGTGACACGAGAATTTTATATATAAGATTTTAATTCTTTCCTTACCATCCAGTTCGGTATATAGATCCAATTGAGAAGAACTGGCAAGAAACTCAATTGAATTACTTTTTTTTTTTGTTAAAAGCCAGTTTATTTACACTGCATATTTATATAGGTGTCTATGTCTAACGTTAAATGAAAATCCAGTGCATGAACAACTATTGCACGGTCGTCATTCAAGTAATCGTTTAGTGAACAATAGGCTTTGAATGTGAGTAAGGTCAGTGCACTTCCTGGGCGAGTAGTACAAGAGAGAGTTTGAGTTATGTGTGTGTGTTGCAGGGGGAGCTACGGCGGCGCGGAGGAGTCGTGCGTGGGCGGAGAGCTGGTCGTGGAGGACGCGCCCGAGCCGCCGCACAAGCGTCCCCGACACCACAACGTACGTACACCAACACCTTTCGTTTTTATATATACAGGCTTACTGGTTAAGTGGACCTATTCCCATTAAGGTTTAATTTTTGACAGATTTCACTATGAGACACCCTATCCTAAATCTAATCGTTTCCAAATTATTGAATGTAATTGTTTTTTTTTTTTATAAAAAATTCTCAATTTTCGGATGTTAGCTTTAAAATGTGTGAGTCTTATTATTACTAGTATTTGATATTTACTTGTAAAATAAGATCTATCACCTTAATAACCAATATTATATGTAAAATGATTGAGTAAGTCGTTGTAGACGATTAAAAAAAAAAGTTTTATCTTTTAATGGTTATCTGAAACAAATATTATTGTGCCTGTTCCGCAGATGTGCTTAAAAATATCTACGTTTCATCAGCTATCCGATGAGGAATAACTATCTATGGTATTATTAAAAATTTGCAAAAATAAACTTAGTTGCGAGGCGCCAAGTACTGTATTTTTTCACACTGCATAAATCGTAAGGTGTCCCGCTCGCACGCATTACGTTGACCCTAAAGAACAATTGGCGTGGGATTACTAAATTTAGGACCTCTCTAGCGACTCGCAACTAAGTTTTTTTTTACTAGAGTACATTGTAATATTATTTATTATTACATTAATTCTTTCAGATGTCGGACATAGAAGACCGCCGCGCATATTGACGGCCCGCGAAGCTCGCGTCAGTGCGCGCTATATCGCGCCGCACTAACGCCGCACTAGCGTCGCACTAGTGCCGCACTAGCGCCGCACCAACGCTGCACTAGCGCCGCACTAGCGTCGGAATAGCGTCGCACTAGCGCTGCACTAGCATCGGAATAGCGTCGCACTAGCGCTGCACTAGCATTGCACTAGCGTCGCACTAGTACCGCATTAGCGCAGCTACGAGTGCGGTCTATTATATATATAGCGCAATATTATAGCGCACATAATGCATACGCTGTTATACCCTCCAGGGTAGAGTGGAATCCTGAGGAATTTGGTTTATAAATATTGTGATCACGAATTTGATTCACGGATCGTTAAAAAATGATTCATGTAGATTTGTCAATTGTTTGATTGATCAAACATTAAAAGAAGTTACGATATTTTGTCATCCAATAAAAATCTTAATTATAAATATATAATAATTTAAATATTATTATTTATACTTTAAGATTAAAAACAATGATAATTGTGAATAATATTACAATTTATATACAAATGTATAATTATAAAGAAAAATCGGATTGATTGTGATAAATTAAATTTCCTTACGGAATATTGAGATGTTAAAGATATCATATAGGCCAGTTTGGTTACCTGACAATATGGAATTTATATCTTTCTTCCACTATACAATTATTGGGAGAAATGGCGCCAAAATACCAGGATATTCCACATCTACCCTAAAGAAAGGGTTGTTTGAAAGTGTAATTAATCTTAGCAATAATTCAACATGGGTGATTATATAATGGACAACAAAAGACAATGCAGTTGGTTAAGTAATGTGTTTGGTACGTTGGATTTTAAGTGCTAAGATTCAAGTTTCGGCGGTACATTTTAAGTTTTATGCTAAGTAGCATGTATTTTTTTCGGACTCTAGGGCTCTGGACCCGCTCTTTGACGTGGCAAACGTCGCTTTAACTTGTGTGGCCAGTTTCAAAATTGTTTTAAAAAAGGCGTTTGTTTTTTTTTACTAATGACAAGAGAAATGCAACCGTATTTTTTTATTGTTTAATGGTAGTAAAGTGATTCTGAAGCTGGCAATGTTACGTGAATATTGAGTGCAATGGAAATTTTAACTTTTTTTTTTAATTTTAGTTAAAAGAGCATGGTAAATGTTAGTATACAGTACTAAAATGAATACTTAAATGTATAGGATTGTTTGCGAGTTGCAGGCATGTTGGGACGGCATTGTGTTGTGAATTCACAATAGATACCAGATATATATATTATCTGTGAGAGTTACTGGAATTCTACATAAAAAAAAATTGTTAAATAAACTCATACTAATAAAGTATAGGAATTATTTTAGCCGATTTAAAATTGTAGAGGCGAGATTGAAATTAAATTTCAATTTTTTTCTCTATTTATAACAATTCTCATTGAGTTACAATATATTGATGTGAATGTATTGTATGTATGAACATCACATTATGAATTATAGAACAAAGATTTGGCGGTTGTTTAGAGGTACTATGTTATTTGTCACGCATACATTTCATAATAGTATCAGTACAGTTATCTAGTTCGCAAGTTCGCTAGTTCGTAGCCCGCGACTTTGTCTGCGATATCTGCTTAATATCGCTACTATATATTTACTTAAGAATCTTATGATTCTGCATACAAACTTTTAAAGCCTAGAAAGAACTAGAACTAGAAAAAACTAGAATTGGTCGAAATATATTCGACCAATTCTAGTGTTATTTTCGAGATAAAAAATCTAAATTATATATGTAATATTACTAAAGTGTAACAAAAATTAACTAAGGCTGAATTTTTTAAGCAAAATTGTTTTAGACAAAGTTACTTACACAATTATAACAATGACTGGTTTAGTAGATAACTGCACTGATCTAATATATAAATATATAATGAATAAGACAACATTGTGAGGTGATTTTGCGAATGGGTACATAATATAACCGAATTAATAACAATCGGAGTACAAAAAAATACCTAAACTTCGAAATTTCTAGTAAAATTTACAATAAAATAAATATATCTCCTTGTTGAGACGCGTTTATAACAATTTTTGACAATTTTAGCTTTCTATATTTAGCGGAATGACACCAAAATACCTTTTGCATTAAAAAAATGTAATATTTGTGTATTTTAAATATATATATAACGTAGACTTTGTTTATAGGCATACAACTACAATATTGTACATGTGTTGCCATATTTTATAAAATTTCCACTAAAGTAATATTTTTCATAAATGGCAAATAAAAAATATACAGCTAATATTTAACGTGAATATTTTTGAAAAGATTCTCCTTAAATATGAGAAAATATAACGAAAATGATACATGAAAAAGTTAACCAAAATCACAGACAAATATGATTTTTTTTATTTAATAATTTTACAATCGGCCAGCAATGATTCGACATCCAAATAACTGACTTGATGGCGTTTGTCTATGGAACAGACGAGCCTGGCAACGTTTGTTATATTACCTGTGGCCACATTATTTTGCTTCTGTAGCAGTTTTTTTTAATCTACTTAAAGGACGTCTTACATTATATCCTCATTAAAGTGTTACAACTTTCAAAGCTAAAGGTTTAATAATATAACTGTATTTATGTTTGTACGTTATTCAACATTGTCACCAATTGTAAACAGATGTTCATGATTATTTTTTAAATATATATTCTGTAACAAATTCGTCACGATATTATTTTTATTTTAAATATTAAATACTGATAAGGAATTTAAAGAACGAGGTATTATTGATTAATAATTTATTTTCATTGGAACAATCACAAAACGACGGCTTGTTATATACATATACCAGCAGACTCGGCCACGCGTTATTGTGGCTAACAGTCTCTTTATACATAAAAAGAATTTGCAATAAAATAATATTGCAACTATAAATTGAGATGTAAGCTATCCTATCTTTCAAGTTGGATCAAATTGCGCACAAGTGCAAATCAAATTTGCAATCGGTTCAGTAGTATAAGAGTCCATTGCGGGCAAACAACGTGACACGTAATTTTTATACATAAATATATATATATATATAACAAGTAACGTATATTGGTAGATATAACGTGCCCAGAATGCAATTTGACAATATTGGAAATAGTCGTATTTGTCTATGAATCATAGTTGTGAAATCAAGAAGTAGGTACAATTTGACAGTGGTATGACAATAGAATCCGATGCATCCCCGGGTGTGGGTAGAGGCATTAGAAAACTGTAATTTACTAACGTAATCCTGCTTTTATGACAACGTGGACTTTCGTAGTATCCCCAGAAGTCTATGATGCCTCCAGTTTGGTCTGCATACTTGAGTAGTAACTATATTTGGGATTATAAAGTATGATTGTAAAGTGCATAATAACGTAATGTGATAAAATGATATGTTGATGAATACAATCACGATTTTTGTATGATATGATAAAATATACGATTTGGTAACAACGTAATGTAGCAATCATAAATCCCACTTACCTGTGACCCATTGACGCCTCTAGTTACAGAATGCGAGTGAATACGAGTGCAGAACTAAGTGATAATGAAGTTTATAGATAGATAAAAAATATATTTGTATTTTACTACACACTAAGCTTTATTACAAATAGTATACAATATAGACTATTTTTACCACAGAACAAAAAATTTTTGGTCTGTGATTCAAACAATATCATACAATATGAGTAAACTTGCATGAGTGTACCACAGCAGCATACATATGTATTTCAAATAATAATAATAATAATCTCAGGACAATTCACACAGAGCCATCTAGACCCAAGTTAAGCTAGCTAAAGCTTGTGTTATGGGTACTAGATAACTGATACATATACATAGATTTTTTTTTTGTAAATACATACATATTATACATAGAAAACACCCAAACCGATACAAACAATCATACTAATCAATACAAATTTTTGTGCCGTGCGAGGAATCGAACCTGCGACCATCGGTCGTAAAGCGGTGTGCTTGACCGCCAGACCACCGAGGTCGTCAAATATATATAATATATATATATATACAGATATGTATGTTTATCCTGTCATCTGCGAAGGAGCCAATTATTGTACTCGGACACTATAGCCCCATCTGTGAGAAGTCCTGTAATTGATCTCACAGTTAGGGTTTTAATGTCATTTTAACAGCAAAGAATATATACGTTGTACCAAACTGTATGAACAAAATAAGGCTCTATTCACACGACGATGCGTAAGCTAGAAAGGAAACGTTGCAAAAACAATTATCCATTATATGATAAAAAAAGAATAAAATGATTACTGAAAAACGCGCCTTAATGTGTAAGAAACAAGACATATTTTCATCTGAAATTGTCAGTGGTCATATCCAATATACGAAACATTACATTATAACGGTAGTAAGCGATGAGTTATGACCTTGCTACGCCGTTGTCCAGTAAATATAATTAAATTACTAATTGGTAGATTTATTATAGATATAACGTCATGGTCTAGTGGTTTACTACGTTGAATGACATCGAAGAGGACGGGAGTTCAAATCTGACTGTTCAAAAAAAAAACCTGAGCGACCTGATCCCATCTGGCGTAACAGTCTGTATGTATGTAATTGATAGATAGATGAATGTTATTCTAAGTAAATACATATTAACAAGGATTAGGCTTGCGACAATCAACATAGAAACTGCTACGCACTCAATCTTTTTCGAAATGTGGGTATATGACCATATCGTTGTCAGTGGACAAGCTTCTGGCTACTCCATTTTGGATAACAACTGTGAAGATACCAGAAATAACAACTATATATATATATATATATATATTGGAATTTGTGAATTAACTTCGTCTCTGCACTCGTGTTTACTCATGTTACATCGCAGTTGTGAATATTAGTTAGTTATATGAATCTTATGCTTTATTTATGGAATTTAATCGATCAAAACGGCTGGCTTACCAAATATGCGACGCGATTATAAGTATAATGTTTATTACATACTTATTGACTCAACTTTATCCGTATAAGTGACGTATCCAGTTTTAATTCGTTTCCGGTCAATTGAGAAACTTATTATATAATGTCACTGATATTATTTAAGAAACTGATTATGTAACGCTGTTTCAATCATCCTAAATGCGATTATGTGTGTTTTGTTTGCCAGTTGCAATTGCCATTGTAACTGTAACTGTCAGATGTTAATCATAAGGATAGAAACAGGTTTACATAATCAAGTAGTAAACGATTAGTGTTCGACCGAAATTATCGTTGTCTGACCGAGACAGAACCTCAATTTCGGTTTGTTTTTCGGTCGCAACCGAAACTCTTTTTAAGTGGGTATTTTGTACAATTTAGAAGTTCCTGTTATTTTTAAATAGTTGTAAATATACGGTTTTTTATACGTGTAAGTTATAATTTGATAAAGTAATAGTTATGTTGCTCAAATAAGATTTTTAATATATATTTATATAATAAGATATTTCGCACCTCAATAAGAGAATAAATGCAAACAGAAATTTGGGTTCACTTTATACAAAGTCTTTTCTTCTCTGTCTCATATATTTCAGTCGGCAAGAAGCTTTATAAATTATTTGAAGGTAACATGTCAGTAAACTATCAGGATATAAAGGCATCATGCCTTAGTTCTCTGGAAAGACAGTGCTAGAGAATATCAAGGGTATTCGTTTATCCCTGTTGCTGTTTATATATATCAGCTAGTTTACTATTTAAGAAAAAACATGAAATAGAACTATACACGGATGCTTCATCCTTGTTAGCATGCTAATAGCATGCTAAATCCTCTTATAGGGAAGAACCCATGCCCAACGGGATAATCATGGGTTAATTAGAGTATCACAATTTAAGTAATGACTACTTACAAAACGCAGTTTCGATTTCGGCCACAGTTTCGTTCGATTTTATGCATGAACCGAAACTAAATCGGATTTCGGTCGGACATTAAGTTTGTAGTAATAGGATGCATTTAATTTATAATGAACTAGATACCCGCCCTGGCTTCGCACGGGTGTACATGTATTGTACATATAAACCTTCTTGATACACTACTGCTAAAAACTGCATTATAATCTGTAGCGTAGTTTAAAAGATCTGTGGAACAGACAACGCAAGCGACTTTTATATTATGTAAAGAAGCGTACACACAATGCAACTTTTAATATTTATATCATATATAAGTATATGGAAACTGTAGAGATTATTAAAACTGTTAAACAGGGTTCCAATTATATAAGCATGTTGCAAACGTTTCTTAGAACAGATTGAAATAAAAAGTTTTGTTTTTGCATATACAATTTTAGTAGTTCGCAACTGCAACCGTCGTGGTTCATACATAATCACAAAACATTCAGTTTCAATCTGTTTCAAATAACGATTGTATACTATTCATATAATAATGCTCTCCCAAACAGACCTTGTTGGTTTTTCACATTCAAAAACTGAAGTCTTCTTTACATAGACCTAGGTTTCTAGTTGTGATTACTTTGTACTCAAAACAGTGCTGTAATTTGTTGAAATAAGGTTTATTTTAACATTTAATGTTCTTTATTATGAAATAATACTCTAACTTACCATTATGACTATGGTAGTCATCTGAGACTTGACATTTCGAGGTATATTTGAATCCAACGGGACGAAAGTGCCATAAAGTTTAAATGTGTAATAAACCTTATTTCAATATATT